CAGCTCCAGGTTGTTAAGACTGCACCAGACAGCCAGCTCTTTAACCTCCTGTCTGTAAGCAGACTCGTCTCCGTCCTGAATGAGGCTGATAAGTGTGGTGTCATCTGCAAACTTCAGGAGCTTGGTCTTTAGATGTGCAGTCGTTGGTGTAGAAGGAGAAGAGCAGTGGGGAGAGGACGCAACCCTGAGGAGCTCCAGTGCTGATTATACGGGTGCTGGATGTGAGTTTTCCCAACCTCACTAGCTGCTGCCTGTCTGTCAGGAAGCTGGTGATCCATTGACAGACGGAGGTGGGCACAGATAGCTGAGTTAATTTGGGCAGGAGGAGGTTTGGAATGATACTGTTAAAAGCCGAGCTGAAGTCCACAAACAGGATCCTCATATAAGTCCCTGGTCTTTCCAGATGCTGCAGGATGTAGTGCAATCCCATGTTGACTGCATCATCCACAGACCTGCAGGGGGTCCAGTGATGTCCTTCAGTTAAGCCAGCACCAGTTTTTCAAATGACTTCATGGTCACAGATATTAGAGCTACAGGTCAGTCATAAAGTCCAGTAATTTTGGGTTTGTTTGGGATGGGGATGATGGTGGAGTGTTTGAAGCAGGAAGGGACTTCACACAGCTCCAGTGTTGAAGATCTGTGAGAAGATGGGGGCCAGCTGGTCAGCACAGGTTTTCAGACAGGCTGGTGCGACACCGTCTGGGCCTGGTGCCTTTCTTCTCTTGTTTTTTTTTGAAGACCTGATACACATCTTCACTGATCTGAAGCACATCGTCTTCACTGATTTGAAGTGCAGGTGTCGGGGAGAGGGGGGTTGCAGGAGGTGTTAATGGTTGTGTGCCTTAATGTTGGAAAGACCTTAACACATTAAAACACCTTAATGTTGGATTTGTTTCTTATAAACATGCTCCTTCTTGCATCGCAAGACATTAATTGATCTACTAGTGGTGTGGATTACTTTTAGGTTATTGAGATGTTGGGATGTTTTTATTTCAGTAGTCCACTTCAGACATTCTATTAACTAGTAACTTTGCAACTACTTGTCAACTTACTCTCAAGTAGACCGTTAGGTTAGGGTTAGTAGAATAGGTTGACATGTACTTGCAAAGTTACTTATAATCAGTAATGTGTTGGGGGACCATCAAAATAAAGTGTTACCATAATGTTTTTATCAGCTGTCTGGACTCTCATTCTGATGGCACCCATTCATTGCTGAGGATCCATTGGTGAGCAAATGATGCAATGCTACATTCTCCAAATCTGTTCTGATGACGAAACTCACCTACATGGTCTGAGGGTGAGTACATTTTCAGCAAACATTCATTTTTGGGTGAACTATTCCTTTAAGATTTGAGAAACCCATCAGTGAGCAATTTGCAGTATAAACAAAAAGTTCTTATCCTCTGATTCTTATGCTCTAATTAAAGTTGTAATATCTGTTTAGCATGCTGTTTTGATCCTGCTGCTTTCATATTATTTCATATCTGTCCCGTGAGAGAACTAGTGAGACCACCTTCATCTTCGTGCGCATTTTAAAAGCGTGCACCCATGTACGCTCTCGTGCACTCGTGTACATGTCAGCTTGAGCTATGGCTCTGTTCTTTTTGTTGTAACTGTATTTACTGATACTCTCATCACTCATGAATATTTCTGAGAGTAGTGCGGGTCTCGGCACAGTGCTGCCTCTTACTAGTTTCGAGAACGTGCTTTTGTTTCTCTTCAATGTAATTCTCGCCACCTCCATTATTTTTATCAACGTGTCCGTGTTTATCGCCATCGTGATGAACAGATCCCTGCGCAGCGAGAACCGCTTCATGTACATGCTCAGCACGTGTCTCAGTGACATCTGCACGGGCGTCTCGTATTATTATGCTGGAGTTATGGATGTACGTGATTATTATGACTCCCCGACTCGCACTTTCTACATCGTTCCCACTTTTCTGGGTCTGTCCTATATGGCGATTCTGGCCGCACAAGCGGACCGCTACCACGCAGTCTCAGCGCCTTTCAAATACTCGCAGCGCATGACGCGAAACGGAACCCTTCTGGTGATTCTGGCCTACTGGGTTTATGCTTTTCTGATAGTGGCTGTTAATAATTTGGTTACTTTGGGGGTTGCTAAAAGAGTTACGAGCTTTGGCACTTTTGTGGCGAACATTTTCACCTTCATTATCATGATTGGGTTGAACCTCAGACTGTTCTTCATCGCTAAATTTCAGCTAGGACGCGAACCGCCGAGCGAGGAACGCGACAACAAGCGCGCGTCCATTTATCTCATCATAATAGTAGCCGTGTGTTTTCTGATCGCGTGGTTACCTCTTTTTCTTCATGTTGACGGTTAAATCAAGACAAATGATATCAACGTTTTATGAAATTAGTATATTAGTGATAAAACATTAATGTGAAGGTTAACTTAAAAGAAAACTACGAAGAGAGATAGACCCAACGTTTCCGCTCTTCAGATCCCGTTTCTGCAGGACACGTAGGCCTAAGTGGCATAAATTAAGAAACTATAATTAAATGAAATCAGAACATATTAGTATAATTTTATATAGCTTGTTTTGTTTTTTTACATACGTCTTTTCAATAGTATGTTTTGTAGCTGATGTGTTAAAGGTATGTGGTAATATTCTACATTTTAGAAGATCATTTTCCATCATTTTTAAGCATTAGGCTACATACTTCAATGTATTCAATGGGCACTTGGCTTAGCCTTCCCCTGGCCATGGGTCTGGAATTAATGGGGGCTTGGGGCAAAAATGCCACCAAATTGGACAAATATGCCCCTGTACAATAAACTAGATCTATTAAGGATGTCACCAATAAAGTGAAAATGAAATGAAAAATTGCAGCATTAAATTTAGATCTGCTAATGATTCATCAAATTATGCGTTTTTACAGCGATCCGCATTATATCCAATTACACACGATTCTGTTGAGCTTATGAATGCAATGGCCAATCAGAGGCGTTCAGATGAGTCACCGCTGAAACGCCGAGTTGTGTTGGCGCGCGTACGCTGACTGATCTGCACGGGCGTCTCGTATTATTATGCTGGAGTTATGGATGTACGCGATTATTATGACTCCCCGACTCGCACTTTCTACATCGTTCCCACTTTTCTGGGTCTGTCCTATATGGCGATTCTGGCCGCACAAGCGGACCGCTACCACGCAGTCTCAGCGCCTTTCAAATACTCGCAGCGCATGACGCGAAACGGAACCCTTCTGGTGATTCTGGCCTACTGGGTTTATGCTTTTCTGATAGTGGCTGTTAATAATTTGGTTACTTTGGGGGTTGCTAAAAGAGTTACGAGCTTTGGCACTTTTGTGGCGAACATTTTCACCTTCATTATCATGATTGGGTTGAACCTCAGACTGTTCTTCATCGCTAAATTTCAGCTAGGACGCGAACCGCCGAGCGAGGAACGCGACAACAAGCGCGCGTCCATTTATCTCATCATAATAGTAGCCGTGTGTTTTCTGATCGCGTGGTTACCTCTTTTTCTTCATGTTATTGTGTGTAATTTCGCGGGGTCTACGTGCTATACGTTCAGAAATGAGGGTTCAGACCCCCTGCGCATTTTGCCACGGGTGAATGCAGTTCTGACCCCTTTATTGTATATCAGAGGCTGTTCAGCACTATGGAGCACACTACTAAGTAAAGTCTGGAGACCCGCGTGCTGCAAGAGGAAAGGGTAATCTCTCTAACTGTCTCTCTTGCACACATGGATGAAATATTGATCTTAATGTAATTAATCTCTAGACCATCTCTGATGCATTATTTATTCTAGCCTACTCCGTTATGAAAGACTGTTACTTTTGAATTCAAAATAAGACTAAAATTATGTCGTCTTTTTTATTTACTAGGTTACTAAAATGATTTTATATAGGCCTATCTATTCACTCCAATAGCCTACTCCAATTTTTATTGTTAAAACGTAGTGTAGGGTATTTATATTATTATCATTTAAATTGTTAAGATTATTTTATATATTATTTATAAATATTGTTTTACCCCTTTTTCTGCCTGTCCATATGCTTACAAAAAAAAACAGCTACTTGTGTCCATTATAGGTAGCCTACTATTATTTTTTGTTGACATGTGACATTGTAGCAAAAATTATGAAAAATTAATACTTTAATAAATGACAGTTGACATTAGACATAAACAAATATATAAAAAAGTAAAACAAAATAGAATCAGAAAATAAATGTAATGAAGGCCAAGTTTCTCTCTGCTCATGAGGATGAGGTTGTGGGATGTGACAACATCTGAAATAACACAACTCAGTTTAGAGTTACAGTGTGCCTCTTCAAATTGTTTAAGTAAAAGCATTTATGTTTAAAGGCCAAAAAGGACAGTATGTGAGCCATTCACCATGTTAAAATTGTATTTTATTTTTTTGGGACTGGGAATGTTTATGCATAAACCCAAATAATAATGAAAAACAATATGGATCATTAATTCAATAGAGAGGAGTATAGAAGTATCCTCAACAGGATACTTCTATACTCTGTGTAGATACTTCTATAAGAAATGTATATGTTGGAAGTGTTGGATGGTTGAGCTCCAGAAAATGAAGAGGCTTTAACAGTTACAGATTTGAAAACAAAAAGGTGGGAATAAACAACAACACAAAAACCATTTCAGCAAAATTTAAAAATATATATATCATTCATAGTGGTGGTTCGAGTGAGATGTCTTAAGTGGGTAAAATAGCTTTAAAGGGTTTTTAAGGAAACAATATATCAGAGATTTTAAGTAGTCTAAAAAGCAGTCAAATGTTTATTTACAAAAATACAAGAGGGTTAAAGGAGTACACCTTTACACTCCTTTCTGGAAGAGTCATGGCTGGTTAGGCACACAAACAGCTATGTCACTGAAGGACACTGAATATTTGCAAAGCTTTTTTCCACTTTTTTCTTTCTCAGTGTGAACCCTCTGTCCATGGAGAAGAATGGAGCTGTCGTTTTCAAGATGTGATTTCACAAGCCAAGGCAGTAAAGGAAAAGAGTTTAAAAGATCAAGTGCCATTCTTGATGTTTTCTGGTTTCTGAAATAACAATACAGTCACATTTATATCACAAGATATTTCAGATATTAAAGGCTTATATCACAGATAAGCCTGGCAGGGACGTGGGTGGCAGGCCTTCAAATTGCCAATATTCTTTGAGAGAGATATTTTTATGCCTCCTTCCGCATTCAACATTAATATGCAATATTCTACATGAAATGGAAATAAAAAATGAATTTACATGCGTCTTTGATAGATTTAATTGTCTGAGAAATGGAACTCTTGCTGCTATCAGAATAATTTATTAATAAATTCCACATGGCATTGTGATACTGTGTCTTATTATTTTGTCTTTGGTGTCATCTTTAAAGAAAAAAAAATACCCAAAACACAGCTCAGAAATGTGTAGGTCTTTTTTAGTGTGCGAATTGTTGCATGTTTAAATGATTATAAAGGAAAGGTAGGCTAGACTTTGTAACTATTATAATTTAAATAAATATACAAATGGCTAAGTCAAGTGTTTTTGTCATTCGATGAGATCTTTATTATGATTCCGTGTATCTAATACTATCTAATACCATCTATCAAATACTTAATAAAATAGCCTACTAGGCTACTGCCGCTCTGCACAGAAGACTGACAGGAACGGCGCGAATTTCTGAGGTAACGGTTAAATCAAGACAAATGATATCAACGTTTTATGAAATTAGTATATTAGTGATAAAACATTAATGTGAAGGTTAACTTAAAAGAAAACTACGAAGAGAGATAGACCCAACGTTTCCGCTCTTCAGATCCCGTTTCTGCAGGACACGTAGGCCTAAGTGGCATAAATTAAGAAACTATAATTAAATGAAATCAGAACATATTAGTATAATTTTATATAGCTTGTTTTGTTTTTTTACATACGTCTTTTCAATAGTATGTTTTGTAGCTGATGTGTTAAAGGTATGTGGTAATATTCTACATTTTAGAAGATCATTTTCCATCATTTTTAAGCATTAGGCTACATACTTCAATGTATTCAATGGGCACTTGGCTTAGCCTTCCCCTGGCCATGGGTCTGGAATTAATGGGGGCTTGGGGCAAAAATGCCACCAAATTGGACAAATATGCCCCTGTACAATAAACTAGATCTATTAAGGATGTCACCAATAAAGTGAAAATGAAATGAAAAATTGCAGCATTAAATTTAGATCTGCTAATGATTCATCAAATTATGCGTTTTTACAGCGATCCGCATTATATCCAATTACACACGATTCTGTTGAGCTTATGAATGCAATGGCCAATCAGAGGCGTTCAGATGAGTCACCGCTGAAACGCCGAGTTGTGTTGGCGCGCGTACGCTGACTGAATTCTAAACTCTCGCGAATTCTCTCATCAAAAAGAACAAAGTGGAAATGTAGGTACGATGTAAGTAAGAGATTCATTTGTCACTGTAGGCACCTTTATTGATTATAACGGGAGTTTTTGAGCGTGCTTAAACTCGCGCTAGACTGAAGTCAGTCAACATGTTCTTTGATAATGTAATGTTCTTTGCTTGCTTTTTGTATGTAATTTATGTGCTATTTGAATAACCATGGAAATGAAAGCGTTATAATTTCTTACAATGTTTTTATTAAATTATGATCACATTATATAGCTACAAATTCAGTCGTATTAAAAATATTTGATACCCGTAGGCCTATCTGGCATGAAAGCCTTTTTCCGCAATTGAATAATAAAAAAAAAGAATTGTACAGAATTAGTCAGAATTAGCTACGAGATATAAACTCACAATTGCGAGAGAGTACAAATTGTGAGATAAAAAGTCGCAATTACCTTGTTTTATTTTTATTCGGCGGGTAGGCTATATAGCGTGACCCTGGACCACAAAATCAGTCATAAGGGTCAATTTTTTGGAAATTTAGATTCATACGTCATGTGAAAGCTTTCCATTGTTTGTTAGGATAGTGCGATATTTGGCCAAGATACAAGTATTTGAAAATCTGGAATCAGAGGGTGCAAGAAAATCAAAATATTTAGAAAATTGCCTTTAAAGTTGTCCAAATGAAGTTCTTAGCAATGCATATTACTAATCAAAAATTACGTTTTGATATATACATATAAAAAAAAAAAAAACGTACAAAAATGTATTTGTATTTTTTTATTATTAAGGGAAAACAGGTGACTCTTTGACTTTGAATGGTTTAAAGTGCCTATGGGCACTTTAACTTTATTTTTCAAAACAAACAAAAAATGCCCACCAGCTGTCTCAAAAATTTTTTATGTATTGTATTTTTTTTCCACACATACTGGTAAAAAATGTATAGCCTGAATGCACTGTAAGTCGCTTTGGATAAAAGCGTCTGCTAAATGCATAAATTATTTATTTAAATTATTTAAATGAAATATTTACGGTAGGAAATTTACAAAATATCTTCATGGAACATGATCTTTGCTTAATATCCTAATGATTTTTGGCATAAAAGAAAAATCTATAATTTTGACCCATACAATGTATTTTTGGCTATTGCTACAAATATACCCCAGCGACTTAAGACTGGTTTTGTGCTCCAGGGTCACAAATGTGCTTGCCTAAAAGAGGGGGTTATGATGTGTGTGTTAATAGGATTACATTAACATTAGGCACACATTTAGCCTTACCCTGGAGTGGGTTCACCCTCCGCCTATGGGCACTTTAACTTTATTTTTCAAAGCAAACAAAAAAGGCCCACCAGCTGTCTCAATTTTTTCCCAGTCCATTTGCATCCTCGGTATATTTACATGGCAAACAGCACATATGAAACACACAAAGCTTTGGAAAAATACTTAAGCTCTCAGCAAACACAAACATTCAATCATCTCTATTGTTGTTTTTTAGACATTTCCCAGACACACACCCACTGAGGGCTGAAAAACCATTCACCTGCTTAACATATAGTGATGGTCTTATTCTTTTGGGGGAGGTGTTTTCTGCCACCTGTTTTCCCCTTTGCTATCTATTCCAGTGCACTTGATTTCCCTTCACCCATCATAAGAGATTGGAAGCCTAATTAAAAGCTTAATTGCACTTACAGTGGAGTCCTGTGTGGCCATAAAGCTGTTAGGATTGTCAATTGATGATTAATCGTGTCCAAACATGCCACACAAAGTCTGGATCCTGTCAGAAGCATTATTTACGCCGGTGTGTTTTGGCTCACAAATAAACACCTGGGAAGGTGACTCTTTTTTCCTTATGATTAGTGTGGTTAACCAGGCAGAGCAAATGTGCATACAGTCAATGATCATAACACTGCCCTGTCTGTAAAGTTTAGTTAAGACAGTCTCTTAGGAAACCTGTTGGGCACTTATTTCTGCTCCGATTATTATTGTGATGATAATCATGGTGATTGTCCCCGCTGAGCTAGTGACCCAGAACACAGTGATAGAGTTAAAGTGACGAAAACACATGAATTTGAAAGTTGGAACTACTTTTGAGTAGATTGATGGATGAGCTTCATGCCAACACACAAACGCACACATTAGCGGACTTAGGCTTGCAGGTGTAGACGTACTTAAAATGTGTACAAACAAGTGTGATTTTGAATCATTGCACTAATTGTAATATTTCGTGTGTTCTTAATCTTTTATTTAAACCTGGTAAACAGGTTTGTTAATCTTATGGATGTTGTGCCATTTAAAATTTTGATCTTAAAGTTTCTGTGACTTTTTATTTCACATGTTTACATTTCTAAACAAAAAATGGGAATAAATAAATAAATTTAAAATAACATTGTCACACTTTAATTTACACAAGTCAACAAAAACAACACTACATAAAAAAGGACATTGTAAATTCGCATTTAAAAGAAATCAATCATCAGTCTTATAGCTTTTATACAGATGTCACAAACACAATGTCATCTTGGCACTTTATATAATTCATCAAAAAGTTAGTTTCTAAGAATTTAAAATTAAAACACATAAGCAATAATACATTTGCCCAATTAAAATGCTATATTGTTTCAAGATACAAACATGTCAAGTGGAGAAAAAGGACAGGGACATGAAACTGCTCTTAGAGATTTAACTTGTGCATTGTAAATTCACAAATGTTTAGTGAATATTCAAATATATTTTTAAAGTCTCTTTAAAAAGTCTTGTGTTTGTCACATCACTTCTATATGTATAGTCGTCTCCATATTCTGTGGGTTCACTCTGAGAAAAGATGAAAAAACATTTGCAATAATATGTCAAAAATATGAGTAAAATATAAAATGTTAAATCAGGAAGAGCAAAATTATGGGAGGAAATATGGCTATGAGTGAGATTAGCCAGGAAAATCAGGAAAGAAGTGGGTTTCTCAGTGGCTCAGTGAGTAGCGATTTTGCCTCACAGAAACGGTTTCGAACAGATTAATCGATGCGCGGGACTGGATGGTAGGCTACCAGGAGCACCCCATTATATCATCAGTCAGGGACATCATTATCGATTGTTAAGTTACCTTAATAAATTTAGCAGACATATATTCACATGGATTTATGATGAGCTAGAGCAGACAGCAACACAAAAATATGAGTCACAGCCTAATAATGCAATATTGTGTTCGGTATTAGAATTTTTCAATAAAGATATTGTACTAATTTTGACATTTAGGTACTTTAGAAAATGTGTTTAAATATATTTGTATGAAATAGGTTTGCTAAATCTATGGTATTTAAGTCATCTTAAGATAAATAACATTCTGTGCTAACAAATTGGAATGAGGTGGTTGTTTTACAACAAGGTGGACACAGTTCTATTCATAACAGTAGACCTGCTGGTGAAGTAGTGACAGAAGAAAAGGGAGAGACAGAGACATTGGGGAAAATTAAGGTGTAGTTCAAGAGACAACCTTCAATTATTTTCCACGGCCCCAGACTAAGGATTAGACCTTTTTATGTGATGGCCATACAAATAATAAGGTCGTCTGTGGTTTTCTAATTTGTTGTGGGTGTATAGGACGGCCTGGATGAGTGTGAGATTTCCCGGCCTGAAATTGCGTCCCAGTCCGGCCATGTCTGTGTGACTTACCCCACAATCCAAAGACACGCAGCATAGGTGAATTGGAGTTTTGAATGTGTGTGTGTGATCTGTGGCCCTAGATACTGAAAGTGGTTTAGAAAATCTTACAAAGACCTGAGATGACCGAACACCTGAGAAGAGATGATGCCAACCCTCAGACAACATACAAAACTACCAAATTTTGCTATAAGTTTGATCGCAACATATAATCATTGCTGTTAATAGTGTTCACCATCTGTTTGATTACATGACATTAACTAACTGCTTGATTTTTACCGTACATTCGTGCCATATGGACATCA